GAGGGGAGGAGGGGAGGGGAGGGGAGGGAGGGAGGGAGGATGAGGAGGTTGAGGATGAGGAGGAGACGGAGGAGGAGGAGGTGGAGGTGGAGGAGGAGGAGGAGGAGGAGGAGGAGGAGGAGGAGGAGGAAGGCGACGAGGAGGACATGGAGGAGGAGGATGAGAGCCAGGAGTAAGCTCAGGATGCACCGGCAATGGTGCAGTGTGTCTTGCTTTTCCGAGGTGCCTTTCGCCACCAGTGCTTACGAGTGTTCCGTTTCAGTGAGGGGAGAGCGTCTTTTTGAACGACGAGCGTTTCATGGGTCTGTCATTCGGGCTAGAGGTTGGAGCCTCGCTTGAAACATTGATCGCCCTTCGTCCTTGTAGTCGTGAGAACTGTAATAACGCTTGGTTCAAAAGTTCTGACCAATATCAAACGGGACTTCCCTCCATCCACACGGGCAGAACAGGATTCGGGCCATCACACGTGAGCACGTCCCAAACGAGCGCCTTCTCCGAGTGCAGCCGCTGCGCACTTCACATTTTCCCGACGAAGTGCTTACACTTGGACATCACTCCTTCTGCTCAAACGTGCCCCCCCCCGATGGCTTCTCTTGGCCTCAGGGTGCGACCATAGGCGCGCAATCGTTTTCACCCGTTGATTGCGCTCGTCCCCCCGAGCGTTGTGTGTGGACACAGGTGGCGACCCAGGGGCTTCGCCATGCGTCCATGGAGTGCGCGGCTCCCAGGAGAGGCCTGCGTGACCGCAGGCTGCGCCCGCCGGCTGCCCCGCAGTGTTGCGCTTGCGTGCTCTGCACCGTTTCGCGTCGGTTTGCGCTGCGCCGTGTGTGCCGTACTGACTGCATCGCTCGAGGACGACACCGGTGGGACCACGTTGCACAAAGCAGCGGACCACAGCGAGATGACCGTCTTCGAGGGAACCGCCCTCCGTCTGCGGAGCTGCTGTGCATGTGGATTCGGCTGCAGTCCGAAGTCCGGCTCGGCTTGATCCCGCACAATCTGGTTTTTAAGCCCGCTGAATCCAGCTTAAGCCCGCTGAATCCAGCTTAATCCAGCCGAATCCGGCGTAGCAGCCCCCCAATGGGGCTGAATGATCCTTCCGACGAAGACCTCCCAGCAGTCGGCTCCGAATGTTTGATACGAATGTGAGCGGCGCCGACGATTGAGTCACATGTTGAAGCTATCTCAGCTTCGTCCGTGTAACTGCTCGCGCTCGTGAAGGCGAGCGTTCGCGGCGCTGTGGCGCGGCGCTGTGGCAGAAGACACGTTTTGAAGCCGGCCCGCCCTCTTGCTGCGCAGCGGTCGGAAGCGTGAGCATTGGGATCATGAGTGACTGTCGCTCCGCGTAAGCCCACAAGCCCAACCAGTAACGATGCCCAGGCGAGTTAATCTGATCATGGAAGTGCAGGAGCATGCAGAGCAACAACGAAAGGAAGGGGGGGCACAGTCGTCCTCGTTGGAAGGAGAAGGGAAGGAAACGGAGGAGGAGGGTGAGGAGGGAACATGAGGAGGATGAGCAGGAGATGGAGGAAGAGGCGAAGGAGGAGGCGGGCGAGCAGAAGGCAGGTAAGTTTGAGGTGAACTTTGGTCGGAGAGGGGGGAGGAGACGGAGGACGGAGAAGAGGAGGGGGAGGCATAGCAGGACAAGCAGAAGGAGGACAAGCAGAAGGAGGAGGAGGAGCAGGAGGAGGAGGAGGAGGAGAGCAGATCAGGGACTAGGCCCAAACGGTACCAACGTTGCTGCAACAGGACCTCCCGCCCGGAGACCCCTCGTTGCCAAGCCCCTGCGAGCGCTTCTCGGCCGCGCGAGGCGACCCCCTCCCCCCCTCAAACGACCAGCGCTCCACGGGCCCGCAGCTCGGGCGGAGACTCCGCGCGTGCTTTCCAGAGCTCCTCCTCCTCCTCCTCCTCCTCCCTCCTCCTCCTCCTCCTCCTCCTCCTCCCCCTCCTCCTCCTCCTCCTCCTCCTCCCCCTCCTCCTCCTCCTCCTTCTGTCGTGAAGGAATCACGGCGGGAGGTTTTTCGCTATGCGTAGCCTCTGCGGGCCCTCACCGGGCCCCGGGGCCGTCAGACAACGACTCGGGATGAGAAACCGGTCCCGCACCTCTGCTTCTCAGAAGGCGCGGCTCTCGTCTGTAGATGTGAGGCCGGCGCCTTCTAAGAAGCAGCCTCCTTCCAAGAAGCCTTCCCCCCTCCCCCATACCCCCTGTCTGCGCGCCGCCAACAATACGCGTCACCCCCCCCCACCACCTCCGCAGAGATGGCAACATCTTGGCCCGTCTTGGGGCGCCCTTGGGCCGTCTTGGGGTCCTTGGAGGCCTCTTCGGGGGCCGTTCGGGGGTGGCCTCGGGGGCCTCTTGGGCCGTCCTGCAGCGTCGGAGCCCCGGAGAGGCGAGAACGCCCAACGCCGTCGAAAACATAGCCATGCCGCATGGCGCGGCCTGCTTGGGCGAGAGTTGGATACTCGCATGGCCAGATGCCTTTGTCAGCGATTGGCCTTTCTGTGCTCAGCATGCGAATCTGGCCGTGCTTGTGCCCACAGCGTATTGGTACGCAAAGTTTTGGGCATGCTATCGACGCGTTGATACCGCGCGCCACTTGAAGCTTGTGGCGAAGCGCCCGAAAGGAGTATGATATAAACATGGCTCCCAGTGGTGGTCCGCAACCCATTCGCCCGGCTGATGGCGTACTATCAGCGCGCATGGCTGGGCAACCGCCAGAAGGCCGACGGCATGCTGCACACACGCGATGCTTTCAAAATGCGCAACCGCACAACCACAGATACTTCCCACCCTCCTCCTACCTCACCGCCCACCAAACCACCCCAACCCAACCCGAAGGCTCTGATTTGCCCTCCATTTCCAGTGGGGGGGTTCGGGGAACATTGGAAAACCACATATGAAGCCCGTACCCCCCCAAACCCAAATTTCTGCCGAAATTAGGGCCTTCGGGTTGGGCTTGGGTGGTCTGGTAGGTAGTCACTACCACCGCCACCTATTGCTTCCCCTCTCCTCACGTGACCTTCATCTTCGCTCCCTCCTCATCCATATTCTTCTCGTCGTTGTCCGCAGTATTTCCTCGTTCTCCACTTCTCCCTCTCCATCCTGCTTTGTCTTTCCCTGCTGTTCCTGCCTGAAGGGATGAGGCCTCACGACACCCGCAATTCGGATCGAATCGTTCTGTAGCTCGGCGTTTTTGTTCGGCGATGTTGTTTGCAGAGAACTGCGCAATCGCGTTTCTGATTCTCCAGCGTGCCGCAACATTATTAGCTCGAGAGATTGCGCTGACCGTGGTGCTCAGTGGACTTCGTTTACTGGGGAGAAAGTGTCTGACGGTTTTGTCGAACTACGATGGCGCTGGGCCACAGCCCTGTCTGGCGCGTTGCAGAGGGCATTCTCACCAGAGCAGGCAGAATGGAGCAGAATAGAGCAGGCGCACCCAGGGTTCTCAGCTGGCTTCACAGGCGTATTTGCACATGCCCGTGCAGATTGTGCACGGACAGGCCACCGTGTATGCATTCGCAGGACCGCACGTGTTTTACTTCCCCGCCGATCGATCCAGCTCAACGAAGAGACCAGCGGGGCACGCTAATGAGAATCACCACCAAGTGTTGTTGCTGGGCGGCAGCGACAGAGGTGGTGTCCCGAACAATTTCCATGTTTCACATGTATGTATCCCTTCCCGGGTTCGTGGGTCGATCCTGTTGTCTTTTTATATAATGTCACCTCCTGGTGTTTTGCATGACGCCATATTTTTTTTTCTCGGAAAGGGCGTGGGCCCAGGGTTCTCGGCTGTAGAGCCGGCGGGGTTATTTTGCGATAATTATCGAGGTCGCCTAGGGCCGGCGGAGTTCTGTTTGAGGATGTCTCCAGCGAAACGCTTGTTTTTAGAATTTGTCGAGGATGTCTCGAGCGAGACATTTGTTTTGCGTTATAGATTGTCCTCTCCTGGGGACCAGAATTCAGAGGATCTCTCGAGTGAATTGCTTGTTTTCACGTGCCCAGGTCTTGAGGATGTCTCGAGCGAGACGCTTGGTTTCACGCCTCCAGGTTGCCCAGGCAGAGGTCTAGCGCCAGGATATGTTGAGGATGTATCGAGCGAGACGCTTGGTTTCACACGTCCTCGTCGCCCAGGCGGATGTCTAGCATGAGGATGTGTTGAGGAAGTCTCGATCGAGATGCTTGTTTGCACGTGTCCAGGTTGCCCAGGCGGATGCCTAGTATGAGGATGTGTTGAGAATGTCTCGAGAGATACGCTTGTTTTCACGTGTCCAGGTCGTCCAGGCGGATGTCTAACATGAAGATGTGTTGAGGACGTCTCGAGCGAAACGTCTGCTTTCACGTGTACAGGTCGCCCAGGCGGATGTATAGAATGAGGACATGTTGAAAACGTCTTGAGCGAAACGCTTGTTTTCACATGCCCAGGTCACCCAGGCGGACGTCTCACATGAAGATGTGCTGAGGATGTCTCGAGCGAACCACTTGTTTTCATGTGTCCAGTTCGCCCAGGCGGATGTCTAGCATGAGAATGTGTTGAGGATGACTTGAGCGAAACGCTTGTTTTCACGTGTCCAGGTAGCTCAGGCGGATGTCCAGCATGAGGATTTTGACATTGTCCCCAGCAGCTTCCGTAGCGCGTCCCCCTGGCACGTTCCGCGGTGCGACCCCATGGCACGTCCCCTGGCACATCGTTTGGCGCGTCCCTTGAGACGTTCCGCGGCGCGTCCTCCTGGCATGTCCCCCTGTCAATTAGCTCTGGGGCAGCTACTATGTGTTCAGGCAGCTCGAGCTTAAGATCCAGATCAGTTCGGTCAGGACTCGGATGCAAAGGAAGACTCGATCCACAACGCTATAGAGAACAATCGCGGCATGGCACATCGCAATTCAGCACGGCGCAGCACAGCACAGACTTCGGCACGGTACATCAAGATCGACACACATTCAGCATTGCAACCTGGCACGTTCCGTGGGGCGTCCCTTGGCGAGTCCCCCTGGCACGTCGCGTGGCGCGTCCCCTGGCACATCCCGTGGCACATCCATTGGCACGTTCAGTAGCGCGTCACTTTGGTACGTCCCACGGTGCGACCCCACGGCACGTCCCTTGGCACGTCCCCTGGCGCGTCCCTTGGGACGTTTCGCGGCGCGTCCTCCTGGCATGCCCCCCTGTCAATTAGCTCTGGCGCAGCTACTATGTGTTCAGGCAGCCCAAGCTTAAGATCCAGATCAGTTCGGTCAGGACTCGGATGCAAAGGAGGACTCGATCCACGATGCTATAGAGCACAATTGCGGCACGGCACATCGCAATTCAGCACGGCGCAGCACAGCACAGCCTTCGGCAGGGTACATCAAGATGGATACACTCAGCATTGCAATTACCCGCCACCCAATCAGGTGTCTTTGAAAACGCTGCCACGCGTTACGTTTCTATATGCCTTTCCGGGTTCGTGGGTCGATCATGTTGCAGTTTTTGGTGCAACTGCTAATCGAATGGTTAGCTGCGCCGTCTTGTTGCACGGTGAATATAGTTTGCAGTCCCAACGCTGGGCCTTCGGAGCTGACTCTGAGGGTGGCAGTGAGCTTCGCAAAGAGACAGAAGCGGACCCCCTGAGAGTCTAAGGGAGATCGACGCCGACGTCCTCCGAGCTTCTGGGTCCAGCCTTGCGTTTCGTCGTTGCCGCCCTCCTCTTTGTCGTGCTCCCCTTGTGCGACCGTTGTGGCTCAGGACATGCTGCCTCAGCGCACCATCGGGGGCCCGTGGAGCTCCGGGGGCCAAGCGCGGGCAGCTCTCACTGAGGATGACAGCGATCAGCCTCTTGCTGACAGCGGGCGCGGACGATGTGAAGTATGTGAGGTCGCGCAGGATAGGACAGTTGGCCTTTGGTAGTTGCCCGGCGTTTCCAAGAAGGAGGTGGAGGCCGGGGAGGTCCTCTCCGAGACGCCGAAGAGCTCCGGTCTGCCGTGGCGCCTGGAGGGCCACCGGCGTGGCTGCCAAGATCGTCCTGCGGACCGCGGAGGGCGAGGAGAAGGACGCTCTTTCTCTCCGGGGAGCTCACTCATGGGGTACACCTCCCTGGCAGACACGCGCCATCCCGGCATGGTGGTGTTCCAGAGGGCAGTGGTGGAGGAGTCGCCCCCCATGTTCATCACGGACTTCACGGTTGGAGGCGACCTCGGGCGTCACTACATGGCCATGCGCAGGGAGCACCAGAACCCGAATCGGCGCGCCGCTCTCATGCGAATTCTGGAAGGATGCGTGACACATAAAATGCCGAGGCCGCAGCAGGCCGACGAGCACGCATCCCTCCGCTTCATCATGCTGGACGCCTGGGCCGAGGACCCCAGCGATCGTCCAGATGCTCGAGAGCTCATCCGGCGACGCGCCACGATATCGTGAGACAAGGCGCGCGGGCGCTTCAACCATGTGAGCCGGCCGCGCTCGACCTTCGCGTCAGCTCTTCGGACTGAAGCCTTCGGTGATGCTCGGGCGCGTGACGGGGGGCAGTGAAGTTTGCGGGGAGAAAGCATGCCCGAGTCCGCGGCCTCGCGGGCCTTGCCCTTGGGCCGCGACCCCACGGATGCCCCACGCGCACACAGTCTCCGCGCGACCGCGCCTCCGCGGGAGCCGGAATCCAGACAGCGAGGCCGCGGATGCGGATATGCTCGCGGGTCGTGAGGAGGGGCCGTGTTGCAGATGTGATGGCCAGAAGTGGATGTGAGAAGTTGAGAGAAGCGGGCTGGAGGCTCGGCCCGTGCTTTAGGAGTCGATTTGGTTCCACCTCCTCGACCCCCTTCTCCGAGGTCTGCACTCTATCACAGTCTGTTCGGCAGCATACCGTCGGAGTCAGCCCGTGGCTTCACAGGGCGAGCAACGGGTCACGCACGGCCTCCACTCGTGTGGCCTAACCATGGTTTCTCTCCTGTCCCTCACCATCTTCGCATAGCTTTCATAGTTGCCGCTTGTTTCGCGACTTCTCCTCCTGGCCTCACCCTGCGTGTTCCTGGTGCCGCCTAGGCTCGCAGCTGTGGTTTCAAGTCGGTGCGCTGTGGTGGATGGCACATGATGGCACACCAGTCCCGGCAGTCGCCGCGGCACTGGGGTGACCGTCGGATCGAAGGTGTCGTTGTAGATTTTTTGTGGCGCGCACCGTCCGACCCTTTCGGGCAGCCCAGCGTTGAGAAATTTCGCGCGGGGCGTAATTTCACATCGGGCGAGCGCCGCCTCTGTCGCCCTTTGCGCGGCGTGGCGCGCGAGCGGCGCTCGCGCCGCCTTTTGGTCGGCGCGGCGCGGCGCCGCCGTTCGGTGAATATGAGATGTCTATGCCGCCGACCCTGGAGGCGGGACCCCCCCCACGGGCATCCGCCGGCGCCCGCCGCAACCTCGGGTGGGCGGCATTCTCACCCGGGACCACCCTCGGAACCCCCACCACAGGCGGGACCTTTCCCGGGGGTTCCGCCCCCCAAGGGCCCCCCCCCCCCTTCACGAGGGGGGACCCGCCTTTGTACGAGGGGGAACCCCCTCTTTGTCCTCCTTGTCCACAGGGGGGAACAGAGGGAAGCGGGGGCCGCAAGGACCTTGGTGGGTAGGGGGGGGGCGGCGCAAATCTGACCCGGGACACCCTCTCCTTCGCCCCCCCTCGCAATCCCCTAGCAGACCCCCTCGTACATACCCCCGTCACGGAGTTGAAAGAGGGGAGGGATTCGACGAATCGGGACTGGCGACGACAACGACGACGAGGACGACGACGATGACAACGACGACGACGACGAGGACGAGGACGAGGACGACAACGACGACGACGACGATGACGGTGACGACGACGACCACGACAACGACGGCGACGACGACGACGACGACGGCGACGGCGACGGCGACGACGACGGCGACGGCGACGGCGACGACGACGGCGAAGACGACGACAGCGTCTCACACACGCAGAAGGGTCTGCGGTTTTCCGCATTTTGTTGAAATAGGCGCTGCGGTTAAGTCATTCAGTTTTGCCCATTGTCAACATGTTTTGGGTGGGTGCAACCAATTTGATTGATGCGATGTTGTAATTATGAAGAGGGTGTTTCCCTTGATGACCTGGGTGCTGTTGTCGTTGTGCTTTTCTGTTGAATCGTTTCTGCAAGAGTGTGCCAGGAGTGATGATGGCACATCAGTCTGGGCAGTCGCCGCAGGATTGATGTGGCAGTCGGATCGTTGCCGTTCTTTCCTGGAAAGGGCTACGGCCCAGGGTTCTCTTTTAGAGGTTTTACCCCGGGGGCGACTTAAGACGGACCGGCAAAATAATTGTTTGCCCGGGAAGGGCAAAGGCCCAGTGTTTTCTTTGAGCTGTTCCTTCCCGGAATCGACGGCTGCAGGGCCGGCGACTGGCGAATTAAAGTTTGAGGAAGTCTCGAGCGAAACGCTTGTTGTTTCAGAATGTGTTCAGGATGTCTCTAGCGAAACGTTCATTTTGTGCTATAGATCGTTCCTCTCCTGGGGGCCAGACTTCGGACGATGTCTGAAGTGAAATGCTTGTTTTCACGTGTGTCTCGAGCGAAACGCTTGGTTTCACGCCTACAGGGTGCCCAGGCAGAGGTCTGGCACCAGGATTTGTTGAGGATGTCTCGAGCGAGACGTTTGTTTTCACGTATCCAGGTCGTCCGGCCAGATGTCTAGCATGAGGATGTGTTGAGGATGTCTCTCGAGAGACGCTTGTTTTCGCGTGGTACGTCCCGCGGTGCGACCCCATGGTACGTCCCCTGGCACGTCCCCTGGCGCGTCCCTTGGGACGTTTCGCGGCGCGTCCGCCTGGCATGTCCCCTTGTCAATAGCTCTGGGGCGGCTACGATGTGCTCAGGCAGCTCGAGCTTAAGATCCAGATCAGTTCGGTCAGGACTCGGATGCAAAGGGGGACTCGATCCACAACGCTATACAGCCCAATCGCGGCATGGCACATCGCAATTCAGCACGGTGCAGCACAGCACAGCCATCGGCACGGTACATCAAGATCGCTACACTCAGCATTACAATTACCCGTCGCCCAATCAGGTGTCTTGAAAACGACGCCATGCCTCACATGTCTTTCTTCCTTTCCGGATTCGTGGGTCGAGCATGGTGTTATTTGCAGCGATAACAACGAGGTCGAGACGGACCAGCGAAGTAAATGTTGAGGCTGTCCCGAGCGAAACGCTGGCGTTTGACATTCCGATTGATAAAAACATCGTAAGATAAGCATGTTCGTGTGTTGCGAATGTCTCGAACAAACCGCTTGTTGTGCATAAAGTGTTGACGATGTTTCGAGCGAAACGTTTGCTTTGTGCTATAAACCGTTCCTCTCCAGTGTACCAGAAGTCAGAGTTTGCTTTCCCATCCCCAGGACGTCAGGATGTCTCAAGCGAGACGCTCCGAGGATGTCTCGAGCGAAACGGTTGTGTTGCAGAACTCGAGCTGCCTGGGCGCCCCAGGATGCCCAGGTGGTTCTGGGAGCCCGAACACAGCATACTTTACTAAGGAACCTGGCCCTAGGAGCGCGGACGCAGTGTAATTCAAAAGGAAGCGCAGCCAAGGGTGCGTGGACGCAGCGTAATTTACCAGGGATCGTGGCCATGGAGACCGGACGCAGCGTAATTTATTAGGGGTCGTGGCCATGGTAGCGCGGACGTAGCATACTTTGCTGTGGATCGTGGCCCTGGGAGCGGGGACGCAGCGTAAGTTACAATAGATCGTGGCCTTGGGAGCGCGGGCGCAGCATAACTTAAGAGGCATCGTCGCCCGGGGGGGTCGGACACTATGTAATTCATTTGGGAACGTGGCCCTGGGAGCGCGGACGCAGCGTAATTTACAATAGATCGTGGCCTTGGGAGCGCGGACGCAGCGTAGTTCACAAGGGATCGTGGCCCAGGGAGAGCGGACGCAGCGCAATTTACGGAGGAACGTGGCCCTGGGAGCACGGATGTAGGGTAAGTTTCGATAGATCGTGGCCTTGGGAACCCGGACGTAGCGTAATTTACGATGGATCTTGATCTTGGGGTGACACACCGTAATTTCTTAGGGAACGTGGCCCTGGGAGCGCGGACACAGCGTAATTCACAAAGGAGCGCTGCCCTGGGAGCGCGGACGCAGCGTAGTTTACGAGGGATCACCGCCCAGGGAGAACAGGCGCAACGTAATTCACGGGGATCGTGCCCTTGGGAGCGCGGACGCAGCGTATTTGGGACGTTCCGCGGCGCGTCCCGTGGCGAGTCCCCCTGGCACTTCGCGCGGCGCGTACCCCGTGGCACGTCCATCGGCACGTTCCGCAGCGCGCCCTCTTGGCACGTCCCGCGGTGCGTCCCCCTGGCACGTCCCCTGGCACGTCCCCTGGCGGGTCCCTTGGGACGTTCCGCGGCGCGCCCCCTGGCATGCCCCCCTGTCCATTCGCCCTGGGGCAGCAACTATGTACCTCGGCAGCTCGAGCTTAAGATCCAGATCAGTTCGGACAGGACTCGGCTGCAACGGAGGACCCGGCTGTGCTGTTTAGAGTCTCCGCAGAGACCCGCGTTCCCAGCGGTGGCATTGACATGCCCTGGCGATGTTCGCGGCTCGGGAATTGCGTTCCTGGGGCGCTGTTTGGAAGGCGCGTGCAAGGAGGTTCCCAACATTTTGTCTTCAGAGTTGGTGGGCCCAGCCCCATTGGACCGCTCAGCGCACGGCCTTCCTGTGTCCAGGTGTCTGCAATGGGTGCTCCCTGTAGGAGGAGCACCCCGCAGGAGCGTTCCGCGCATGGGTGTTTCACTAGCCTGTGGGCAGGTGTTGGAGTCTTTTGAGTCTTGTGAGTCGTTTTGAATATCCGCGAAGATACGCTTTTCCACCGGTGGCGTGGGTATACCCTTGGTATGTTCGCAGCTCGGAAGTTGCGGTTCGATGCGCTCGTTGGGAGGCACGCGCCAGAAGGCTCCGCAAGTTTGTTGTTCATAGTTGGTGGGGTTTGCGCCCATTGGACCGCTCAGCTCGCGGCATTCTGGTGTTCACGTGTCTGCAATAGGTGCGCTTCTGTAGGGAAAGCATCCTACAGAAGCGTTTCTCGCAGGGGCGTTTCACCAGCCTGTGCGCTAGTGTTTGGTATTTTTCCCAATCCTCCTGCGTTGGGTTCTCGTTTCGAATAGAGCACTGCTCGCGCGAACCTTCCTTCCTTCCTTCCCGTCCTTCTCTTCCCCCCTGCCTTTTACCTCGCTCGTCGCTGCGTGCCAGCTTGCCTCCTAGCCAGTCATCCCTGTGCCACTTTCGAGGGTTGCAGGGGGCTGCGATCTGTGAAACTGTCGCCACTTTCGAGGGCTGCTGAGGGGCACAGCACAGTGGGTACTCACCGCAGACTCAGATGGGACCTCGCCATCCCTGGGGGGCTGCGATCTGTGAAATTGTCGCTACTT